GCATAATGATGTTCCCTGTTCTGTTCCTTTGCTCGTGTTACTTACAACTGGCCTCTTCTGAATCCAGATAATCATTGCTCTTCGTTTATAATTGGATTTATTTTATTTTATTTTATTTTTGTGTGGTGAGAGAGATCACGTTTGATACTGGGACGAAATGGCAGGTTTCAATCTTGTTTATATAAACGATTAAAAGAGGAAACATTTTCTGTACTGGACGATAAGACCGACTTCCCGACTTAAATCACGTAATTTTATACCAAGTTAGGAGTAAAATGTAGTCCAGCACTGGGAAGAGAAGTCACTAAAATAACCAGCCCCTTTCTGCCTGAAATAACAAAGATAAACAATAAAACAAAACGAAGAAAAATAAAGAGAAGAAGTGATGACGATAATCATCATGAGGACATGGACCAACTTACTCAAATTATTCTCAATGATTTTAATCTCTTCCTTACCCTATCATCTGTTAGTAGCTCTTCGGTTATTTAAAGACATCATTTCTGGTTCAGAAACCAGACGAATTATACCTCTAACTGGGAAGGATGTTACGAGGCGCGTCCCAAAAGTAAGTTTCCCACTCGTCCCACAGCTAGCAAACCTTATATTGCGCGAAGCGACTGTGCGTACGTGATAGAGCAATGACGTAGCATGGCGCATGCACTAACGGAACTTTCCGCGTTCTCACAGTAGCATCGTTGCAGCTGTTGAAGATGGAGGTTCTTATTCCAGCCCCCGCCGACTGTGAAGTGCGGTCAGTGATAACGCTAGGCCGCACACGGCTCGACGGACAGCAAGTCTCCTGCAGAAGTTCAGCTGGGAGGTGTTTAATCATTCACCCTACAGCCCGGACCTCGCTCCCAGTGATTTCCATCTTTTCCTACACCTCAAGAAATTCCTGTCCGGTCAGCGTCAGCGTTTTGAGAATGACAGAGAGGCGGAGATGGCTGTCACACAGTGGTTCCAATCCCAGGCGGCAGACTTCTACGACACAGGTATTAAAAGTTGGTCCCACGGTATGACAAATGTCTCAATTCCGGTGGCGAATATGTTGAAAAATAGCTAGACACTTGCTGTATCTGTTGCAATAAATATTTCCATGAAATTGTGTTTTCTTTCTGTAAACGGCCCCAGGGAAACTTACTTTAAGGACGAGCCTCGTAGTGTGCCTAAAAACTGTACGTGAGCTTCCAGTAGCTTTGCCAAAGAACGTCTCTGTAACGGGGAGTTATTTCAACATCTTCAGAACTAACACCACAAGCTGAAATAACATAATTTACTTGACAGACGTACTTGTAATTACTGCGCATGCTTCAAGGGCGGTGACTTCGCCCTGAATCGAAATGACGTTCCATTGTCTCAGTTATTACATCGGCTGCAGGGTGCATGTGATCGGATGTGACATCACCGTCGATACAGCACAGCTTTCAAATAAATCAAAACGGAACCCATCGCACAAAACTATGTAGAACCATGAAAAAAAGTGTCTTTGTTTTTACCAAAACAGCAGTCCTAGGGAAACTCGTGGTGTGTTCCGTCAACGCTCAGATTTTTCAATTCAGTGAAGCCGAAACTCGTATGAATAACATTTAAGAAAACAGTCCGTACCGCGAAGAAAACACCACACTTCACCATTACAAGGATCAAATGGTTAACGCTGTTTAAAGAAGTAATCGATGTTTATTCTGAGAATCATACGAAGTAGGTGGGACATATAGTCACTACTGGACTTTACAGGGTTAACCTGACGCGTGTTCTTTGATATTTTTGTCTATTCGTTTAGAAACCACAAAATGTTTCGAAATATGCTTTTTTAAACTAACAGACGAAGGAAATTTCTAAGGATATGAAATCGTTTAAATCAGTGGTATTCAACCTTTTTTGTTCGCGTACCCCCAGATATAATTTCTCTTCAACTTTGTACCCCCAAAAGTTGTTGGTGTATAATTCAAGTTATACATATTACATAATCTACATCTAAAATAAATTAAATAAATTACATCACTGATTATTCAGTGTTTATCATAAAGTAATATATTTTTTTTTTAATTTCACGTACCCCCTAAGATGTCTTCTCGTACCCCCGGGGGTACGCGCAACCCAGGTTGAATACCACTGGTTTAAATGATACAACCTCTTCAAAATCTTTTAGACTATATCCATTATGGTCCACTGAGCTGTAGCTTTCGAAGAAACATACTGCCTCCTTCTTCAGGGTTGGCAGTACGTTTCACCGGTTATCTATGGGCACAGGCGAGCCTATATACTTACACTTACAAGTTGCCTACTTTTCTACCCTCAAATGCCACCCGTGCAAATCCATGACTGGAAATCAGTGGTTTTCATAACACAAAAAAGGAAAGAATTTAATTACTTCAAACTTTCTTCAACACAAACAGCTTTTAGAATTAATTTCCTTCCGGTTATTAAATAAGAGTTTACGAAGTGCTCAAGTCAGATACTCAGTGAACAGGTTGAGTTCGGATGTTGTTTAGCGATCGGTTCATTTAATAATTAATCGGTCGGTTGACTGGCTAACTAATATGTGACTATTATGAGTATAATAAAAAAAGTTATTTCCATACACCAACCACAAAACAAACGTTTTCATTCCCTGAAGCAAAAACAACGCCAAGAGAGGAAAGAGAATTTTATTGAACCGAGCACAAACCCAGAAATTTGCGGATAAAGTTAATTAAATAACATAAAGCCTGTAACACAGAAAGTTTCAGAACTCTGGTTTTGTAGTTTTGGTGTTTCTCCCGTGGGAAGAGCTCTACTCGCAATTTCGCTTCCGCAGATCGAAGGTTACCTTCAGATGCTTGAATTCAATAAGGCCGAAGAGACATGACACCCGTGTTACGATCTTAATTAGATTCCGCCTTGTGTTACAACAGAGACTGGGTATCAGTGTACGTATCAGCCTGTTTCCGACAGAATGCTTAAGCAGGGTTTCGGAAACGTCAAACTGGGTGTGTAAAGATTAAGTTTCTGTCTGAACAGATATTGTCTCAGAGGAACAGCTCTGATCTGATGCGAATCCACAACTCTGTGAGCCTAAATCCCAGTTAAGGCCTCAAAACCAACGTAAAATATAAAGATAAAGTTATCTTTCTGGACAGCACAACTCGTAATTGTCAGCTTTACAAGTTTCAGGTCTCCGCGCTGTGTCCAAAGCAGAAGTCAGCTTCGCGTTGTGGTCATATTTATTACCAAGGACAGAACAGCCTCTGTAACTCCACTACAAAAAGTTCTTTAGAAGCGAACAGTAGATGATAAAGTTGCGTCATATTGTGATAATATATATATTTGTTTAAATCTTGTCAGTCTAATCACAATAAAATTAATATTACTATAATTAACATTTAAATATTTAAAATATATTATATGATGTTCTCTATCGAAATGTTCGAACATTATTTTAATATTTAATAGGAATTTTATTGTGATTAGACTGACAAGATTTAAACAAATACAAGCGAACAGTAGCTTAGCTGGCCAACAAATTCCCCTCTTATTAAGTAACGTGAAAGGCTATGACAATTTTAACAAGATCCCCTATTCTGATCCAGATGAATCCAGTCCACAAATTCGAATTATATTTTTTTAAATGTATACTTTAATATTATCCTAGATCGACTTCTGGGTCTTCCAAACGGCCTTATATCTTAACGTTTTAGGATTATAAGATGATATGAATTCTTAACCCAAGAGACATTTTTGAATGAGTTACATTTGAGATCCACGTAAAATACTGAATCGAAATTAAGTTAAACCGACAAGTTTTTGCATGGATTTCCAATAACAACGATCACCAAGGTCCTTCAGTAATCACGATCCGTATGAAAAACTTAAGAGAAACATTGTTTTTGACATCCGTTAACCGGTTCTTCTGAGAAACCGCGTCGTACAGGATTTCAATCGTTGTTATCTGTAACAGGCTGCGTGAACTTGTAATTTTAACGCTTCGTATAATTGTGACACTTCCTAATGTTATTTTACGAAACGAGAATGTTATAAAGAAGGAACAGAAATCTGGGTTTGGGGGGGAATCAGCCCAGACTTGGCTGTACCAAGTGTCTGCAGCGGTAATGAATGTCCGAATGAGAACAGTGACCCTCAGCGCCACTGCGGACAACCTCCCCACAACATACAGTTTATCTGGATCGAGAGAATCGCAGAGAGACCGGATATATAGTTTAGTTTCTCCTCCGATCCACAGTATTTCATGAACCGTAAGATAAGAGAATTTCATCTTACTCTCTTCCTCTGGACCCTGCTTTACCAGTGATTCTCATGCTGTCTCCACACACTACCATATGATGTCTAATACTATTATCTCTTCTAGTTCAGTCTATTTATTGCTTTTATCTCGTTTATGAAGCCTTATCAATCGGTTTATTTGTGGTCATGTCAGCTGAATGACTCTTAAATTATTCGATGCTGTTTTAACCGTAGAGATGAATTATCAATAAAATGGGAAGTAAGTTTTCAAAGGAAACAGTTGGCTGGAGAGGCTGAAGAAAAACACGAAGAATCAAGTTCATTCCGGCCAGATTCTGAACAAATCACGCCCCGAATAAAACTTCAGAGCATAACAGCTGCACCAACATGGTTGGCCTGGTGGAATGAATATACAAAAACAGAGTTTAATTAACAATTTTTAAGTCGTACAGCGAAAGTTTTTTGGCCAAGACCTCGATGTTCCTTTGTCCCATTACTACGCAGTGTCCATGGGATCCTGAGGCTTATAAATATAGTTAACACCTTCATTTCCATTTACTTTAAGAGCCATTTCAATAGTGATTATCTAGAACGTACGCCTGGGTCTACAAAAGCCTCTTCTCTCCAGGTCTTCAGACTAAAATACCTCATAAATATATCATCACACACGCGCTACACGTCTCACCAATCTCACCCTCATTCATTTCATAGTGCTAATAATATTTAACGATAATTTCTTCACGCAAAAACATTACTGCTGACATGAAGTTACTCACCAAGGATACCAAGTCGATAGTTTATCGTAACGACCACCAGATCGGAGTAGCTGGCCAGGAAACTGCCTTCGTACGGATTCCCAGAATTCCACTCGAATGATTCTCCGTGAACGTACACCAGGACAGGGAACCGCTGCATCACGTCGGTTGGCCCCACTGGAACACAAGATCGATGGTTGTCACAGCAACAGATCGATAATCTAATTACTACAATAAGAAGCCCCGTTTAAGTTCAGCGGGGAAATATTTGTTCGTGTCCCATTCGCCCTCGTCCTTTCATTTTTCTGTTGTATTTCCTCTACAAAACTGGCATATTTTCTATTCTTTTTTTCAAAACACCATTCACAGACATTCAGTGGCATTAGTGTCACTCCCACATAACGAATTTGAACGTTCGCCATTTTGTTATCGCACATTTAATAATGTTACAAAACACGAGTTTCGGGCGGGTTCCAATGTCATGACGCCTATACCGAACTTGATCGAAATACGTCCAGTGCTTCTCAAGTTAAAACATGGCGACAGACGGACGGAGAGACATTATTATTAATGTGTGTTATCTTTATGCGTAGAAATTTTCAAAAGTTCCTAAGACTAATTCTTCAATAACCGATCTCTCATTTCATTTTATCTAAATAACAACTGCAGTTGATATAACGCCCTACGCACCAGCCAACCTTCCACACATCCGACATCAAACACTTTATTACACTACCGAAAACATTTTCCTAGAGAGATCAGCTTTTTGAAAACATTGAGTACTGAAACGAAATTCAAGATTAGAGTAAAAGAATCTTATTTTCCGTCATACGTCAGATTTTCTTGCAACGTAAGGATAGGTACGGTTTGCCTAATAGAGTGAATGTCAACTTTCCTTCACTGATGGCACCCTGTACATATACTCCAAAAGAATTTTATTTTTATTTATTCAGTGTTCTGTCTGACGACAGGTCCAGGTCCATATGAACAGGATCCTTCCATCCTTTTCTCGGACTGGGACCTGTTCATATACGTTCTTGGCAGATGATCCAGAAGTGGTTTGCCATTGCCTTCTTCTGTGTGTGAATGGAGTAATTGTTGGGATGCAACGGAGGAAAACTCCGTGTTGCCTAGACCACGGCCTTGCCCAACACAAGTTATAAATCCGGGCACCGCCGGGAAACGAAGTGGGTACCCGGGGTTAAAGCGCCAGGAGCTATGCAACTCCTGGTGACAAGTTTGTTTTGTTTACACCGTCTGAGAAGCGTCGAAGGAAAAACTAAAATGCGATGAGTCAGGAAGAGTGAAATGGTCATGAAGGGACTGACATCTCTATCAAAATATAAAACATTTACGATCGAGGACAAAAAACACGGGGAACATTGCGAACCTGACCTCAAATTCTCAATGACAAATGTATATTTAGGCAAGTAAATTCATCTACTCCGGGAACAACCCTCGCTGTTTGTTAGTCGTTGACCCTTGCTGCATGACAAGGCACGCACCACGCCCCCCGGCGGAGGAAGCAGCCATTAATTCAAATAGCAAGTGTTACGGCCTGGTACTCCGGGGGACATGGCCCTTTGATCCACTAATCACTCGACTCGGGCTTTGAGGTGGGCCTCAGATATTCAGTGGTAGTGCAGTACCTGCTTTAATCCTGTAGAGCTCTTGATCAAATCCACGACCTCCACAATGATGGCTGCAGGTGTGGATGGAATTCTCGGACCAGCAGTGTCCCTTCTTAATATGTTTGTAACAGATGCAGATTTTGACAAGGGATGGACCTTTAGCATGGGATTTCAGCGTTTCCGGGACAACCAAAGTATGAACACTAATAAAAGTGACTCAGCGATGTTAAAAAGCTGTGACAGGATCGCTTAATGGCCAGTACAAAGTATTTAAATGCGATGTAATCAAAAAATTAGTGTACGTCTGTACCCAGGGCAGCGCGATTGCATCTACAGAAACACGTGTCTGACGAGTGTGAGATTTATTTTTCAAAACTTTTATAAAAAGTTTGAAGTCGAAGCTCGTCTAAATATTACGTATTTAAGGATTCAGTCCGTACCGCGAAGTAAACACAGCTCTTTACCATTACGAAGATCAACTGGTTAACGCTGTTTAATTCTTTAAATTATTGCAAATGCAACTCCTGTGATGTCGCGGTCCTCTGTGATTATTATCACTTTATTATACTTAATTTTTGCACAGACTTAATAAAAAATATATGATTTATGATTTGGAACTATACTTGTTGACTGACTACCAGTAGAGAAGATAATCTAACAAAAATACTGGTGAGGACAACTGATAAACATCTAATTGGAAGACCAAGACTGAGATGACATAATTAAGACGGGTCTTAGAGAGAGACCATAAAATGAGAGAATGTAACAACTGGCCCGCTATCAAATCGAAAGAAGGACTTTTGCATTAACAGGGTTGAACTGTTTCTGTTACCACAACGTTAGTTAGTTAGTTAGATGTCAGTTCTGAGATTCACACGAGAGATGTCAGAGTTGGGAACTGACGAATGTGGAGAAGGAGTGAGAAATGGGACTGACATATTCTCCACACAGGGCAAAGATTTAAGAGAAGAAAGAAGAATTATTACAGGGCATACGATGACTGGGAGATTATAGAATTTCTAAAGGATTTCCCGCTTTTGATCTCTGAAGACAAAAAGATACAGGAACATCAAGAAAGAGATAGGAGGACAGAGACGAGAATTATACCTGCTCAAAAGTAGCCCAGATCTTCATCAGACAAGTCGTCATGAAGAACATTTGGGCCAATGCGGAAGGAAGTGAAAAAGTACTGAGGAGAAATACGTAATACGAAACTTCTTAATTGGTACTCATTGCACTGCGTCATGGAGGACAATTTTCCCCTCTTGGCAGGAATAATTAAAGAGACGAAACACCTATTCGCAAAAGTACAAAGGCTGGAAGACGCGGGCAAACGTTGGAGGATAATATTAAAAAGGATCATACAGTAATACGATGAGATAAACCAGGGTAGAATTCACCGGTGAAAATACACGGACGGCTAACAATTCAGAGTCTGACAGTTGAACTTTATAAATGGAGAAAGTGCCTTCAGAGTCCTCGGGAGCCAATGACCTCGGACCCCCTCCCCTCAGAGTTCGCTGTTTTCCTCAGGGGAAGTACAGGCTTTTGAGAAATGAGTTTTCTTTCCTGATTTAATGGTATTACAAAAGTTTCTTGGTAGTGGAGCTTCAATCAAGGGCGCGGAGGAGACTGAATTTAATTAGTATTATGTACTGTATCAAAGTTCGAACGACAAAGCCTATTAATTCAATGGGGAAAGCGAGAAAATTATAAATTGCCATGGCATCGGGTTGTTTCTAGTGTTCCGACGGTGAAATGACCTGTGTTACCGACATATATATTTCTCTATAAATAAGATCAGAGTTATTATTTATGACCTAATGCACAACTGTCGTTGAAACTTTCCGATCTGAATAAAAATGGAAATTACTCAAATTTTTAAAATAAAAATTCTCTATATCAAATTTATCTGCCACGGTGGTCTAGCGGTTAGAACGCTGGCCTTGTAATCCTGGGGTCTCGGGTTCGATTCCCGGCGGTGCCCGAATTTATAACTTGTGTTGGGCAAGGCCGTGGTCTAGGCAACACGGAGTTTTCCTCCGTGGCATCCCAACAATTACTCCATTCACACACAGAAGAAGGCAATGGCAAACCACTTCTGGATCATCTGCCAAGAACGTATATGAACAGGTCCCAGTCCGAGAAAAGGATGGAAGGATCCTGTTCATATGGACCTGTCGTCAGACAGAACACTACAAATAAAAACAAAAAATATCAAATTTAAGGAAAACCGGTGGTGAGTAGGAAGATGGCTGTCTTCTGAGATGTTGCGTTGCGTAATCGTCTTACCCTTGTTTCATACACACGAACAGACACACGGACGGACGGAAAGAGATATTTTAACAGGCGATCTGCAGAGTTTAAGATGAAAAGGATTCATTCCTTACTTGTCGCCTCTTCGTCTCAGCTTATCGAGAAGATCCCTGTGTCAAGACGCTAATAAGTATTTTTCGTTAAGATGAGTTATTTTTTTAGAAATACATAATACAAAGCGCAGTCCCAAAACGTACGTCTTCAAACACTTTTTGCCCAACATGGAGTGTCGTTTTTTTTGGGTTTTTTAACAGAATCAAATAACGCGACCAACACTTGCATCATTCGCTGCGACCCGCATTTCTGTAGGCTTCTCCCTTCCCTTTATGTCACACAAGCAGCGGAATTTCGAGAACTATAATTTTGTTTGTATTTGTAATGGGAGACGCTGAATTGTTTGCAGTTGAAATCGAACTAGTTTTCATGTTGGTTCTTTTTAATGACCATACTTGTACACGCTTTGTTTCTCTGTTCTGTCCGAATAAAAGAGACGGGTCGTTTCGCTGACCACAGTGTGATGCATGACGCCATTGTGGATAAAAAATCACTGGCCCGGATTTAGGTGGAAAGGGGCGATGTTTTTTTTTGTGGGGCATTGAATTCGCTATGAAACAACGTTCTGATTTTTAACGAGAAAAATCTGAACACTACACCCCTTTTTCGAATCACAGATATAATCAGGAACCCGTGGGTCGACATGTGACATGGGAGTGAGAATTGAACGCACTGGTTTAACCCTCTCAAGACAAACCTCGTTTAAATTACATTTAAGAGTTCAGTCCGTACCGCGAAGAAAACACCGCACTTCACCATTACAAAGATAAACTGGTTAACGCTGTTTAAGAAAATAATCGCTGTTTACATTGAGAATCATAGTTCGTCTGATTAATATTAAAGAATTCAGTCCGTACCGCGAAGAAAACACCGCACTTCACCATTACAAAGATAAACTGGTTAACGCTGTTTAAGAAAATAATCGCTGTTTATACTAAAAATCATACGAAACCCATAGACGCAAAACGCAAATTTGCTAACTGTTCAATCAGCTGGGACACATAATTACCAATGGGTTAAAGACTTACAAGGGTAATTTATAAAACCTGAACCGATTTATGAAGTGTCTTGTGTCAGATTTTAATGAAATTTGGTAGAGGTATTGAATGTCAACTTCTGAAATCCCATATCAAAGACACAAATACAAATCCACACTTATTATACGCATAAGCTGTT